TTTTAAATTATCCGTTTATGAATTTAGACATTATTAAGAAACTATGCTTCCAACTTTCTCAGGCAAAGTTGACTTAAGATGGATTTTTTCTATTATTTTTGGTCATGTATGGTCATATTGCTCATCATCTATTTCGGTACTTATACATCCTTGGATTTCAAATATTCGGTTTTCAGCGTACTTAATGAATCTTAATCCAGAAAAAAAGCTCTTTAGACGCATAAAATTTATAAGTGTGTGGAGCTTCTCGATTTTTACACCCCCATTTACATTAGTTTTTAGAAGGACTTAGTTTTCATGTAGTGTTTTGTGAACTGTTGCTTGTCTTTTTATCGTGTTTTTGGGGTTTTGCCTTGGTTTTTGACGGTTTTTCTTCGACATAGAATTTTTTATTGTGCTTTTGGTGACCCCTGTCTCTTAATCATTGTTCTTTCAGATAAAGCCCTTTGCTATCAGATTCACAACGGGTATTAACTGTCTACTTCTTGTAGGATGATCATATGGCTTGCTCAAGTATTTAAACATGTTTATGCTGTCATTGGATTATTTAAAAAAGATGTTACAATGTAATAGTAGGACCAATTATCCAAAAATAAGAGTGACACACTGAATCTGTTTTTGTTTGTTTGCTGATAATCTATTGTTATATGTTCTTGTCCTTTCCTTTAAAATCTCATCAGAGATACAAGGCTTATAATTTGGTATGCCAGAAGCGCGTTTCGTCAATATAAGTACCACTCAGATCAAAAACAGATAAAAGACTGATTCAAATACGAAGTTGAAGAGCATTAAAAACCCGAAATTTACAAAAGGTTAGCCAATACAATTTGGTTAGGCAATCTATACTTGTGGTTGAAATATTCAAAAAATTTTAAATAGTAAACTTACAGAATATGAATATATGAATTATTAGTCATGTACACATAAAAGTGCTGACTACTAGGCTGGTGATGACGTCGTGGAACATATTTGATGCTTCTTTAAAACGGGTGTTTGTTGTATTGTAGTGACATTTAGGTAAAATTGAGAATGGAAATGGGGAATATGTCAAAGAGACAACAATCCGACCAAAGAGCAGATAACAGCCGATTTCATCTATTTTGAATAAACTAGAGGAAAAATTTAAAGATATTGTGATTATTTACTTTATAATGAAGAATAATGTATTTAGAAATACCTCAGTACCTTAAGGATGTACACCTCTGACGAGCCAAACATTTCTAGATTTAAACTTTTTTTCTTAACCTGATTTTTGGGTTTATATGACTGTAAAATTATAATTGCTGAAGAAAAAATCATATGGTGGTGCACTTCTTGTTTTGCTAAGGCCCTTTGAAAGTACCCAATTTTGATGATTTTCTCATTTTTCATCAATTTTTCCCCATTTTTGGGCTATTATCGTGAAAAAAATCACAGTTTAACAATTAAACTTTTTTTCATACTTTCAATAAAGATGAACTGGATCAATCTGAATAAATTTAACTTAAAAAAACTATAGGTAGGTGTTGATATAAGAAAGTTTTATCATATTTTGATGCTTTTTTGTGTCAAATTTACAATGCTGTCAATTTTGTAAATTTGTGATTTTTCTCTATTTTAAGAACAAAACGCGTATTATTTCAACTTCTTTGTTATAAATGAAAGAAAAAATACATATCGAAGAAATTTGAAAAGAAAAAAGTGATATGGGATGTACATATTTCTGGTAAAATCATTTCTTGTACCCCTCACCCATTTTATCAAAATTTTGGCTAAACAGACTGACTTGATTGGTAATAAAATTTGAAAACTTTATTACTCAAAAACTACTTATTGTAAATACACAATTTTTTCATAGAATTAAGTTAATATTAATAATTTTTTTAATTCATTGATATTTTCCACTTGTATCACATGTTTTGGAAATAATTCCAGAACGAGATTTCAACGAGACTGAAACGTCAGAAGAGTACATCCTTAATATTACTGAGCTGGTGATAGCAATGGCATCTTAAGATAGTTGCAAGTAATTCCTGAGTCGTAACTAAGTCACGGGACTTTATCAAGCTTGTTCTAGATCGAGAAAATTATTTTAAACCAGCTTTGAAGACTAAAAAATAGTCTTCTGATATCGTAAGTATATTAAATCTTGTACATTTTCCTATTATAGTATTGTCTGTCAATTAGTATGTAGGTCCATAACATGAGCATTTGTGCTTTTTTAAGAAATCCTATGTAGGGAGACAGATAATATAATGTATCACGTGTACCAGATCTAATCCAGGAATATTAATTATTTTATGTATAAAATAAGTTAAAAAGTTTATAATGTAATCAAACATGTATATTTTAACATTTTCTAAATACGCACTTTAAATTGGACCGAAAGGATATTTTAGATTAGAAAGTATTTGAAAATAAGGTTTGTGCTTCGTACCGATCTGATGAGACTAGCCCTTACCGGTGATTGTTATAGTGTGTTTTTATTTTTTACTGTAACACCACTATCTAGGTTAGGGGAGATTTGAGCGTTCACAAACATGTTAAACCCGGTCACATTCTTTATATGTCTGTCCCAAGTCAGAAGCGGGTTATTGAGTGGTTATCGTTGTTGTTATTTGTCATTTTTAGCATCAATTGTCAGGCCGTTGTTTTTCTCCTTTGAACTGATTTACATTTTTCATGTATTTTATAGGTTTTGCTTGTTGTTGAAGGCCGTATGATGGCCTATAGTTGCTAACATCCTCTTCCTGATAAGCATACCACAACGCCTTAGTTTCATATTAATATCATTCTATTTTAGATGTATTTGATAGATATTTTCGACAAAATGTCCGTCACAAAAACCAATCTAAAGATATGTTAACCATGCATTCTTAATGTTATAAAACCTGCCAAAAAAGAAATAAGTGAGATTTAAGTACATTCAAAGTACAGAAATTTATACGATTTCACAAAGAATAGCTGATCCAATTTTGATTTTAATAACTTAGCTGAATTGAAATTTTACAACAGAAGAATGATATATTATTAGCCATTAAAAGGCTTACTGTGATATTGATATATGCATGTGTGAGGGTTCAGAGGGGGTCCAACACGTTAATCTGTATAATTTGTTTACCAGAGTAAATTATATGTTAAACTATCCAACGTAATATTGAGTTAAACAATTCAGCCAAGGTTTAAATTGATATGTATATTTCATAAAAATCGTGTTTGAAAATTAAATTCTGCGTTTCAAATTTAGGTTAATTCTATTAAAAGCTGAAATGATACATTGACAATTATACAGGTTTCACGCGAAAAAATCAAATTTGGTATATGACTGTCATTGTATAAAATGAAAACTATTCTAATTACAGTGATTTATAACATTCTTTTTTGGATAAATAAGATTTTAAAAAAAATGTTGGAAACAATCACGGTTAGACCTTTTTAATTTTGATGCTTTTAATGTTTGACTTTCCAAACTTTGGTCTCGAACGTAACCGATGAAAGTTGTTCCAGAAACACTTCATGTCACGTACAGGGAAATTGGTCATTTTATTTAATCAACTTTACTAATAATGTTAACCTAATCATAAATAATAAAATATTAACCATTACATTTCAGAACAATATATTAACTTCAACGTTTATGATCAAGTTGGTTTAATATACATGTATATATATAACTTGTACAACTTTTGTAATTATACAGTGAAGTATTATTGTCTGTTTAATCTATTCGCGTGTGTTTTATGCTCAGGACGACTTAGTCTTTGGCATACTAGGTAAACACACGTGTCTTTTGTTGTTGACAACTAGATTTATTTATGAGTTTTCTGTGTCGTTGGCTTGCTGTTTCGTTGTCATTTACTGTATATCTCTTTTTCATTTTTTTAAGGTTTTGACTATAGAATCTTGAATATACGCCAGGTTGGCTACTTTTAAATTATCTTATTTTCATTACATGGTTTCTCTTTACTGATCACGTGTGAAATTTAATCAAATTTTGTTTTTACAGAAATTGGACAATTTAGACATATTGTGTAGACTTCTGTCTAGTGTTGAAAACTGTATGTCGCCCTCTAGATGTCCATTAGTCAGTTTTTGTCGATGATTTGCTGTCTCATTGGCGTATACGCCACATCTCCTTTTATTTAAAACGTTTTAGCTCCGATTGATTTAGTTCAAAATCGGTTCATAAGAAATCATAAATCCAATGAACTAAATCGGTTCATAAGAAATCATAAATCCAATGAACTAAATCGGTTCATAAGAAATCATAAATCCAAAGGGTAATCATCTATAGAGTATGCGCTATGTTTTCTTTCAAATGGAGAAAGGTGTGCCAAAATTTATTGGAAAAGTAAAATGAATAAAATGTAATGAGGTTCATAATTTCATTATCCAGATTATAGCACTAGAACATAGAGATTTTGCCAATGTCATGTTTTAAGGCAAAAGATAATACACATACTGAGTATTAACGAGTTTAGATAATGTACCAGTCGAGACATATTGTCTGAAAGATTTTATGTGAAATATGATAAATAAAAAAAAAAAGAAATATCGAAATAATATTTGGAAAATTTGGCATCGAAGGAGAAACATAACTAAAATAAATTCATAAATTTGTATCTGAAAGACAATAAATAGCTTTATTTTCGAAAATTTTTGCTTTGATAGGGAGTATTCTTTATATTCCTTTTTTTCAATAAACAGTTTAAATACTCAAGATTATAAGGAAAGAGTAACAATTGTAGCTTTCAGTTAAGCATCTGGTTCCCTGAATTGGTCAGAAATACGACATACTATTACTATTGTTACAGCCTTCAAGCCTCGATAACAGTGAAATTAATTTTAGTGAAGATAGGTAGACGATTTTTTAAACGTCTTTGTACAAAATGAAATGAAAGGAAATTGGACCAAGGTATTACTCATGTTACGTCAAGAGGGATGTTTATAAGTCAGCAGTTAAAGAAGTTATACGGACTATATGAGACTAAATTGACAACAGTCACATTGATTACATTTATAAAGGACGATACAATGACTATGTAGAACAAAATTTGACAGGAGACATTATTAAAGAATTAATAAGTTTATGTGGTGATTTTAAGACTTATATAGATTTTAGACCCTCGTATATCGATCACAATACTCAACAGATACCAACAGAACGTTGTGTCACCGCTGATCTGATTTAAACCACCACGACATACATGGTTGAATACGTTTACTTTTATCTGTTCGTTTTCTTTCGTTTTTAAATAGGATTTTAGTTTGTTTTAAATGAATATTATATCCCCGAATTACAAACAATCGCACAGTTTAATGATAATAACTAGGTGATCCTAAGTATCTGTCAAATCATGACACTACGAGATTTACCCACGTTCTTCGTACATTTTATGTATGTGTAAGGTAAGTGAATTTATCAGTATGTTTTAACTAACGATCTATCAAACATTATTACAACTACTCATAAGGAAAATTTAAATGAAGTTTATTGATATTTATTTCAATTAAGTTTTCAATACAACGTGCAAATATTTCTACTGGTTCACCAGTTACGATCATAATGATTTATTACATCTCGAACATAAAAAATGAACATGCAATTTTGATGTTATTTGTGTTGACGTTTTCTGTCTTTCTCCGTTTGGAGTTCATGCGATTCCCTCCCTTTTTTTCTCTTCTTTTTTTTTCTCTTGCTTCATATATTTGAAATGGAATAATGAGTTTTTAACACCGATAAACTACTGTTATCTCTAGTATTGTATAAGAATATTACTTGTGTATCGGAAGGGTAAAGTACATTTTGTTTATAAATGTGAATAAAACGATATGTGGGTTATATGTCAATGAGACAGCAACCTAACGACACAAATTACCAAATGGACGTCTGGGTTGATCTAGTCTACATCTTATTAAACTATCTGCAATAATGATAAATAAAAACTGTTCAATTTGAAATCGAAGTTAACTCTGAATACAATTAAAACCTAGTTCTATATTCAATTTTAAAATCTATATTTGTGTTTGTCTTCCCGAGGAAAAGAAAAACTGTTATTTATTGATCATTTTAGACATTATAGAATATTAATATGTATACGCAAAAAAGTCTGTCAGATCCTATTATTAAAACCTCAATTTAAAAAGCGATATAATGCCTCATATAATGTGTATCAGTGCGGTTTAAACGTCATGTGGACAATAAACATCACTTATATAATATTTCATTAAAATCTTTAGACCCGTTAAAATAGAAAATTTGTTGGAACTTGATTAAACAAAATACGCTTCTCAAATATTGAATGAATTGGACAATGTGTACACATCAAGCGATAACAAATATACAAACCATTAGTTATTGAGTATATTGTCAAAAAGATTGTTTATATTGTAGTTCGTGTCATAACTATACGTTTAGCTTGTTTGTCAATTCATAATTTCAGTAGTTCATTTAACAAACACTCAATACGACTTTAAACAGAATTTTCCTAAATTGTTTACTGGTAACTTAATTATACTTTTTTGAATGTTTGCACTGATAACATTACATATTTGTATTTTCAAAGAAGAAAAACAGACACATGTTTGTATATATATAGTATAAAAGTACCATTTTCTTATTCGTATCTTTTTTATAATAATATGTACATAAACAGACAGACAGAATTAGACAAATTGACAGATTAAAGCTCATTTCATGATCTTTCATGTTATCGAGAAATAAATTTCAGTCATGATTAGCCCGATTTAAATTCTGAGCTTATCTGTTGTCAATGTTGATTCCAATTTGTCAACATACTTAAAAGACCAAATTATTTAATATCTTTTTCAATTGTATACATTTGTATTTGAAAATGGTCCCATTGAAAACATTGAAATAGTTAAATACGTTACAGAGAAAAGCTTTCATTCGCACAAGGCCAGTTACAAATATTGAACAATTATCAAAATACTGTATCGTTTATAGATTTAAAAGGGTAATCTTTCAATTCATCAATAAATGTAGCAGATAGAAGTTTTCTTAAAGAATTTACAACACTATAGGCGACTATCTTTAAACTTTATGATATTTCTTCAAATACTAAATATACGTATAAGAACAACTATAAAGTTGCAGATACAATATTTCTTTTATTAAAGTTTGATTTTTTTCAGTATTTTAAAAACCATACTACATGTATTTATGAAAATATATGATCTTTGGATCAATAAACATGAGTTCTGGTAGTAGTTGATCATTTATTGTCAATCATAAACAGAACAAATGGTAATTTGCCCTATTAAGATTATTTGTACTATATACTCGTGTTAAATATTAATGAGAATTTATTCAGAGGTAGGTCTTTGTTTACTTTTTATCTTAATAATCAATATTTTATCATAAAAAAACAGTTATTATAATGTTCCATGTTCGAAAAAAACGTAGAAAAGGATGCTTCTTTTGACAGGAAATAAGGCATTAATCGTTGAATTTTTAGGATAAAATATCAAGCACCATTACCAAATAACTGTTAACACAGATATCTGTCACATCCTCATAAATTTGTATAGTCTAATGCAAATTTGAAATAAAAGTTGCAATACTTTAAAATGTAAGCTATGCAATAGTTTCAAAGTTAATGATCGTCCTGAACATGCATGAAATATTTGCTACTGTACGTTAAGCAACCAACAATCAATCAAAGTTAATTTAACCTGATGCAGAGGGCGGTGCCATATAATCTTCATGGAAATGAGACTTTAAAATGCTAATATTGATACAACTGCATACCATATATGTTTTTCACTAACCATTAGTGCTTTATTTTAAACTGACCTATCATGTAAACTATGCAAAAGTCAATAGACCACGTCAAAGGAGGTGGAGTCAAATAACTCATTGAAATGATATTTGTCAATTATTATTCTAATACAACTGCATACAAAATATTATTGACCTAACTTGTTGATACCACCGACGCCGCGTTGGAAAAAAACACGCCTAAGTCTCGCTTTTCGACTTTTTCGTGAAGAGTCAAAAACTAAAATATGTCATAACATTATTCTATATAAATAGCGCACTTATAAAGAAACTTTGATTGGTCGGGCTTGGTTGAATATCATCTAAAACTGTTATCATCAATACAGCAGATTAAGCACAGGGATCTGGTGAAATTATTTTATTCCCAGCATTATCATTGGTTAGAGAGCAGATTACGTTCTAAAATAATCTTCCCGAGTCCCTGTGATCGAAGATGGCACGACAAGAGAATTTGTTCTGCCGAATACCAGAGAAACGGAAAGCTAAATTTTTCATGATTATATGTCCATAAATGGAAGTATGGAAATTTCTTATGCAAGTACAAAATTTTGCCAAGTGGTTGTCTCTTTCGGACAAGTTATATATCATGGTCACTTGCCAAAAGGGAAAGTTATTAAAAAATATAATTCCTAACCCTGCATTATACTTAGCTTATATCTAACATTAGCTACATATCTGAAAATCCAATATGGCAGTCACCATGGAACACAGTTTAACATAAAACCCTATGAGAATGACAAAAAAGGCGAAAAAAAACATCTGCCGACGCACAATCTCAGTTGAGAAAACACTGCGAAACATACTTGACATATTCTATGCAATTTCTATCCACACTAATCTGTGTCCACACTAAAGGCTTGAAATAGTTTAATTGTGTACAACATAAAAGAAACAAGCAAGCTTCTTTAAAAAATTCTCATTTGCTTTCCATTTTTTGTATTTGTTGATATTGAACTTATAATAATATCCAAGATAATCTGTTATTCGTAGCTGTAATAAAAACTTCGTTAGCTATTAAAGATGAAATGTAAAATCGTGGTCTGACATTTCAAAGTTTTTTTTTCAATTTCAGGTTGTGCAGTAAACGCAATGCAACTCTAGTTTATTCGTGCATTCCAAAGCAACCTTGTATACAACATCGTTAGAGGAGATTGTGAAATTTATTCGAAATGGCCGATTAAACCGTCACTCTGAGTGATTACACTTCAATATGTAACATCAGTACGTGTGCAAAAGTAGTTGACTCCGTACAAATGTTGGTTCGTATCACTCCAAAAAGAATTAATAAAAATAATCTTTTCAAAGGAAAAATAACGCTTTATAAGGGATTTAAGACTTTAATGAAAAACTGATGAAATACACTGATGTACTACGGACAACAGAGACATGTCAAAAGGTTAAGAGGGGAGATAATTGACGAAAACGTCAGAAACAATATGGTGCAAAGAAGGTTGTATGATGGTGCTAAGCGACATCTACCGGTGATAAGGCAAGGTAAAAGTCCAACCCAGTTGCCGCAAGATGAATATTTGTCTTCCATACCAAGCAATGAAATGTCAAACAGAGGACATGAAATCTTTATGGCAAGTAAAAAGGACGTTGCTCGACGGAATTTGATGGGATATCTATATTCTAGACAGCCAAAGATCAATCGCAGCAATTCCTTCATTGCAGGAGAAAAACCACCGGAGCCAGGATTGCCTAGTGTCAAATATAAAAACACACCCAAGAATTTTGAACGCCAGAAAACATTATTTTTGGAACAACGAAGACCATCATCGTTGAACAGCAAGAAATCTATTGACCCTGTTGATAGGCGGACGTCAGCGGGCTCAGCTAGACCAAACAGCAATAAATTTAGTTTACCTGAAATAATGAGAGACATTTACAGTTCGGCAGCAAAGCTAAATAATCCCGAAGATGAATATGAAGAAATGCCTTTCAGTGAAGACAATCATATTGATATTGCTGAAAATGTAACATCACTGGACTTTCCAAAATATCACAAATCCATAAAGGTTTATCCACCTAACCATAGACCAATTACTCCTGGGTTGATAGACAAATTAAATAAAATGAAAGTCAATACAAGGAATAGAACAGAACATTGGATCAGACAAATACCGGAGGAGCAAAAGAGATACAGCAACAACAACAATATAAGGGGTTCAGATCATCAAAGTCGTTGGATTTATACTGATAATTCGTAATACATGTATCTCGAGACAAGAAATATTTCAACATGATGTCTTTTCTTTCTTTGAAAAAAAAACCTAAATAATTCGCCTTTCATTCAACTAATATCCGATTGTGCAAGCTACAGTTTTTTTATTCTTGGAGATTTATCATAAATGTTCCACAGATAATGCAAATATTGTATACGATCATAATTGTCTCCTAAATTTATCCATTTTATATTTTTGAAAAATCAATTTCCTTTGTAATAAAAGTATAAAATATTTATAAGTGTAAAATATATGAAAATCTTTTAATGGAGCTATGCAATTTCATTAAATTATGTATACTGAAGAATTACAAGAGTAATATTTTAATGGCAATTCAGTTCAAATAAAAATTTTCCATTTTGTTAAAACTTAATATCAGAACCGAAACTACAACTTGTTTTTAAGAAATGGGACTTGTTCATATAATTTTAAAATTGAAAATAACGGCGACATACTGCATAGAGTACCGTATAGCGGGTTATTTTCGCGGGTGTAAAATTTCGCGATTTTCATTAAAAAAAGTATACGAAATATTTTGGCGGTTATTGTTTTGGCGGATTCAAAACTTTTATCAATACATTTACATGTACACTTTTAAATTGGCTGAATTTATTTTTGCGATTTTGTTCCATCCGCGAAAATAAGCGAAAATTTACACCCCGCGAAAATAACCCGCTATACGGTAATTCATCAGTTTTGTCTTCTGTTGGTGTATTATTTAAATTTGTTCGACATGAACCTTCAAGATGATAATGACTGATAAATTCTTAAAACACTTCTCTTTTTTCTCAAGCCTTTTTTCATATAAGCACATAAGTCATGTGTTTGCAAACGTATGATATTTTAGTGTAATATCAATTTAACATAGTGAGTGCTAAACACATCTGTACTGAACAAAAAGTTTATAAACTTCAGATTTGTGAATGCAACATCAATTTGTTAATAATAAATATCTAATTTTGTTAAAGTATACATTTGCTTCCGTTTTCATTTCAATCACGTGACATCTCCGAAGTTTGTAATTGTCTTGTAAATGTAACCAGAACCCAAACACTATGCTGATCACATTAAGAGATCGTGACATTGTACTGTCAATGCTGACATTTGATTGATGCCCGATCAATAATATTTCATAATTTGTCAACATTTCATGGATTCATTTCTTTTTTATTTAAATTATTTATAAATAAGAAAGTAAAAAAGAGAAAGTATTCTGATCACATCTTTTTCGTTTCACAATGATCAATAATTTAAGTTTTTAAACGACTGTCATTAGCTTTTAGAAATTGTATTTTTTGTTCGTATATTGTTTTATATTTGAGAATAAAAGAAAAGCACTGTCGTATAATATTTAAATAGCAAAGAAAAATGATTATAAATAATAAGAAAAAAAAATAACGTCTCAAAAATTTATGGTAGAAATTTGTTACATTCACACTAAAAAAAATGTAATGTTTATAGCACCAATAACAAAGCTGACGCAGATATAAATACAAAGCCACAAAAACTCAAAATACGACAATATTTGATATTTTTACGAGTCCTCTTCAAATTGTAATGATAGTTGTCCATACATGTCTTTTTTATAATGACACCAACGGCGGGAAATATTTTTATTCTGTCGCCCTTTTATTATGCTCTATGCAGTTTTGTATTCATGTGATGCACTGTTACCAAAGAGTTAATGTCATACGGTGTCACTTCAATTTTTGTTGAAGTGCTAGGAAAAAGACATTTTTCGTTTTTTGCCTGTTAATGGACATTATATTTTTCTGACTTTTGTGAAACAATTTTCTTTTGCGTAAAACCAATGTTACACTTGAATTTTGACAGTTTCATTAAGTCTATCAGTCATTACGGGCTTACTTATATAATGTAATGAAGTGAACGGCCAACTCCGAATATAACAAAACACGTTTTTTTAAAAGGGCACATGAAAACGGATTTAAATGAGTTTGAGTTGTTGACTTGCAAGCCAAAAATACATCAGCGAAATTTTGTGTTTATTTTGAAAAAAATACTAATAGGGAAATTTCATTTCAAAATTCAGCTTTTTCAAATGTTTTAAACAAAATGAATTATATCTTAATGTTTTGATTTAATCAGGAAATTGTTTGAATGAGGCTCAAAAATTAATATATTAATTTGAAGTAGATTTAATCAATTATATTTTTGTACTAGCTAAATTTCTTTTTAAATGAATGTCAAATCATGCAAGTGATTGCTTCAAGAGGCACTTTCTTTTTGAACAATAAAAATCGACTTATCTACTGTAACAAACTTATTTTGAAAGTGTAGATTATTTTAAGTTACATGCTAATGTTACCTATTGTTTCCATTATGTTAAATTATCATTGTTGTTAATCAATCCTAAATAATGTATTATGTTTTGTTTATTTAAAATGAAAAATAAAATGTTACCAAGTGCACTTTTAAATCAATTCATTTTAAATAGTTTAATGTATATTAAGAAGAATGAAGATGTATTACTTTTTATTATATTATTTACAGACGTTTTTTGGTCTTGTCAAATTAAGAGCTGATGAGTAACATAGGACAAATAAGTGGATGTGTTGTAACTTATTTGTTGATTACTATCACCATGGAAGGTTTCTAGTATCCCACCTGATACAATGAAATTGTATTAGTGAAACAGTCTTCATCAGCTTTATCAAATTACTGCAAAGTACAAATACATGTACCAAAGAGTACATTCGATGATTCATTGCTACACATTGATCATTTTCTTTATTTAAACCATTTGTATAATAAAGATACACTCATTTTATATTTGAATGCTTATATTTGTAATTTATTTGGGTTTAAAAGCGTTAACCGAAACACATTTCACGCTTCATACTAAAAATTTGCGCACGTTAAAGCATTAAAAATATTCAAAATTACTAAAAGTAGCATTCAAATCTTATAATTACATTATTATGGTACCACCATGAAATAACGAGTTAAAACAAGTCTTTCGTTTGTTTTTCTATGTTTTGTTTTAACTTTGTCTCGGAGAGCATGTGCAATCATATGTGTTGCATTTTATACCGAAATAGAATTTAACTTTAAGAATGCCTCAAAATTACGGAATCTTATAAAACTTGTATGTAATGTAATTATTAAACAATGAAAATCTAAATTGTATAAATAGTCAAAGAGAATGTTAACAAAATATAGATCGTTAGTACTAGATAATGTTCTAACCAAAGCTGGAACAATATTTACAGTATTGCACTATTCATATTTAAAATCATGATTTCTGTGGTAATTACAGAGTCTTGTTCTTTATAAATATCTCAAATGCACATGTTGAAAAAACCTGCTATTTTCCAATGAAAACACGACACTTCTATCATGTCAGATTGGCAAAAAAGAGAAAACAAAATGGTAAAATTAGTCGTTCAAGGGAAATCACTCTTATAAGATGTCGTCTGACAGTTTCGATGTCAACAGACAGTATGTAGATCTCATCATTCTGAAAATATTTTCCCTGTCAGATTTTCTTGATCTATAGCGCTTTTCAAGTATATGTTTGTCGGCAGGCCGGGTCATCGGACACATTTTTAAAATTTGATATCCCATTGATGATTGTGTCCATTTTTGGTTAAATTTGGTCCAGTAGTTTCAGATGAGATGATATTTGTAAAAGTTAACGACGGACGGACGGACGACGACGATGGATGACGACAGATGACGGACGCCAAGTGAAAGCAAATGATCACACTGGCCATTTGGACCAGGTGAGCTAAAAAGAAAAAAGGAAAGAAAAAAAGGAGTTCTATGCACCAATCGTCTATGGTGAACATTAATACAATATATTTTCTCCAGTAAAAAAAAAATACTCAACGGCATTCACAAATATTTTGTAACAAGAAATAATTTTATGTATTTTGCACAAAAGATACCATACAATCCTATAAGAAAACACGGAGTACGGATCTTTATAAAGTGGATAACTTGATTACAATGTAGCATTATCTAAAATGTATTTCTCCAGTTTAAGACTAATCCCCAGACAAAAGGAGTGTATAATTTGGAAATGAAATGGCGCTTCTGGGATAAAAAGGAGGAAATTAGAGGATTTACCAGTGCAGATTATTTGCTATACATAAACAATATTGAATTCATATAATTTAACCGAGTCTGACATTTTGGCTTTTCTACGATCTTAAAAATAATTCTGCACTAAACCAGAAATACGAACAACTTGATTGCCTTAATATCGAATCCTACGTTATAGGTAATATAATAACACTTTACATAAGTTTTAAAGCTATAAATGTGTATCGAATTACGTCATCTTTTTTTTTGCAATTAAATTAGTAGGCTATTTCTCGACCAATGAAAATACCTTCTAATTCGATTTCCGTACGCTTGTATATATGCACGTACATGTATTTGCCTCTGGACGTTACGTCCGCATTGAACGATAAATTACAATGTTTAACTTTGATTTATCCGTTCATTAACTTTCAATGCAGGTATGACTCCATACATGACAATTTGAAAAAGTTAGGTATATTAGTCTAGCATATTTGCATTTTATCCATTGAAATTAGATGGTAATTACATTAGAAAAATGGTGGATATTAGAGGAAATATATTACAGATGTTATTGTTTGTGTCAAATCATCTCTTAGTAGCCTGCCTTCAAATGTATCAGTCACACATTTACCAGTAGGTCGTGAACAAATCCCTTTTGACATTCTGTATCTGGAGCAATTTTCTGATTTGGCCGCCCTCAGAATAACTTATTGATCAAGCCCTGTCAACTCTATTCTGGAAACTTGTAATCCCACGACCACAACTCGAACTGGTGCCTTGTACGCCTACAGTAGGAAACTGTACACCTATAGTAGGTAAAATTGATCAGATGACACAAGTGTCATATTGGATTCTTTATTAAAATCTTTAGAACTGAAGGCATCAGAACCCCGACACACACACACACACACACACAAACACAAGCACACACATCTATATATATATATATATATATATATATATATAATATAAAGTCGTCACATGTTTAGACGTGTATAATAAAATTAAAATTTGATGTGGCGGCATGGTAAGTAACATTATCATCCTTTCCGACAGACAAAATAGCTGCTCTGAAAGTTACACCATCTTCTTGCCACTATACAGCATGTTCTGTGTTACAACCCTAGATAAAGCCGACGGGGAAAGGCATTACATCGACCACCGAAAGCTAAATTGTTATGTAGCCTAGGTGATCGAGTGGTCTAGGGCGCTGGACACGATGCAGGCGGTGTTGCCACGATGTCACAGAAGCAAGGGTTCGAATCCCGCTGTTGGAAGTAAAAATGTTGGGCTGAATTTGAGACGAATTATATATACATTGTATATATTTGTAATAACTTGAGCTTCATGGATGTAGTTTGCAACTAGATTATATTATTTTTTATCATGTATAAATACAAAAGAAAATCAGTAATGTTAATGAATTAATTGTCATTTTATGACTGTATAACTCACAAAAAGGGTATATCTAAACCAAAACAGTAATGTTTAATTAAAATAGATATAAGAAGATGTGGTATGAGTGCCAATGAGGCAACTCTCCATCCAAGTCACAATTTGTAAAAGTAAACCATTATAGGTCAAAGTACGGCCTTCAACACGGAGCCTTGGATCACACCGAACAGCAAGCTATAAAGGGCCCCAAAAATGACTAGTGTTAAACCATTCAAACAGGAAAACCAACGGTCTAATCTACTAGTATATAAAAAACGAAAAAAGAGAAACACTTATGAACCACAAGAACAAACGACAACCATTGAACATCAGGTTCCTGACTAAGGACAGGTGCAAACAAATGCAGCGGGTTTAAACGTTTTAATAGGCGCCAACCTTCACTCTAACCTGAAACAATAGTGTAACATCACAACATAGAAAGACACACTATAACATATCAATTGAAATGACTTAACTCAATCAAAAGACATATTAACAAAAACAAGTGAACATACACTGAACGAATAAATTTGATCTACGATGCAAATACAAAATTAATAAAACAAGGGGATTAGATGTTAAACAATATCAGAAAGGCAACAACCTTGGACAAAATGCCGCCAAATAAAATAACGTACACAGGTAAATAAAAACAATTTTGTTGTAAGGTATACATGGAGTACGGAAATATTTTTTACCAAATAAATAATTTTGTTGTTCATAGTACGAAAACAGAAGTGAAAATTTATCGTCATACCAAACACTTATCAAAAGTGGAAAATATTAAAAATAGTGAGACGAGATATAAGTTAAACACTAAATAAGTAAACATTAAATAACAAAAATGCATTACAAACTGTATCAACAGGTCAAATTAACACGAAAGTACGATTTGAGAGTACTTACAGTTACTGAAAGCTAGTTAAAAGCCAAAAACAATTAATAATAAAAAATCATGCATCAGAGACTAAAATCAACATCAAACATATTCTGCACAGAGGTTTATTTGGTTTTAGCACACATTTGGTCCCAAATCAGACCTTCTCCTTTCAATTTGTGTAACTAAGTAAAATTTGGTGTGTTAAAAAATTGAGAAGGAGGCATGATTGTTTTCATCCATTACTAGAAATAATAATGGTCATGGAAGGCTTTTAACGGGGATGATATCAGTAGTTTTAGAAATATATAATACATACATATTTTTTTTCTATTCATTTAGAGTTATATTTCATTTCAACATTAATTATTTGATTTGATTTTCGAGCTCATTAATAAAAATTCAGAAATAATCACTCTCTTAGCAATGTCTTTTAACTTAAAGAGATTATGTGCCGTTAATATTTCTTGACACGAATATTTGATATTGGCAATTTCCTATTTCTGCGAAAAGCCTACAAAACCAGATTATAAAACAGTCAATACAGTTAACAACAATAATTCGTGCCTTCTATTCAATTGGATTAATTGGAAAATGTTGAAAACCCGCCTTGTTGAAATTAGCTTGCACATCCTGGACATGGACACATATTTTTCGTTTTATGGTAGCATAGAAACACTATCACCAGAAAGCAAACAAAAGGTATTTCATATAATTACAGAAATGCAGGTCCATAAATCAGATTGATTGTCCTTTATATGTCACATGACATTTCAAACTATAACTAACTATGTGATTTTCAAAATAAAGGCACTTTACAAATGTTCAATCAATCTGATAAGGCATATAATTAACAAAAATCATCATACAAAAAGATCGAGACAGTTCAAAATTCTTCAGGATAGATATACAAACAAAAACAAAAAATTATAGCTGATCCAATAGCAAAGCTAACAACAAACCTTGTTATGTCAGTGTTAATAATATATCCAATAGAAAGGCTATTAATCCAGCATGAATATCATTAATGGGAAGAAAATTATGTCTGGGATAATTCACGAAAAACTCACC